GGACGGACGGACGGACGGACGGACGGACGGACGGATGGACGGATGGACGGATGGACGGATGGACGGATGGACGGATGGACGGATGGATGGATGGATGGATGGATGGATGGATGGATGGATGGATGGATGTATGGATGGATGGATGGATGGATGGATGTATGGATGGATGGATGGATGGATGGATGGATGGATGGATGGATGGATGGATGGATGGATGGATGGATGGATGGAGAAGATAAAGTTAGAACAAAAACTGAGTTTAGTGTTAATAATTTCGAATAAATAAAAAATCTCAATTAATATTTATACTCATTTTAATTTGTAATAAAGTGACACATATTTCACCCATAAATAAGTAGTACAATGCCAATGGGAAGAATCAATTGATATAGAAGGAACATGTTTCTTGTACAATAGCACGGAACTTACCTATCCAGACGCAAAGGTAAATATTCTAGTTTTTTAATGTATGTAACCATACTTATCTGTGTTATTGTCAAATTTATTGGCTGCAGGAAACGACATATATTTTACGGCATTATGATATAGGACAATTTAATATCGACATATAGACATGCGTATTAGTGTAATTTAACTAAACGTATTACTTTTCGATAATAAGATGATCAGTAATGCGTAATTGTGGGCTTATTGCTTAAGCGATTTAAAACCAGATAGCAGGTAGACTAAAGGCTTATACTCAACAGTTTTTTTCATGCATCGCTATTAGACTGCATGCTTTTACTCAAGATGATGCTTGGTGCATAGCTACCATTCTGAAGACTTCTTCATTCAGGAGGCTACTTAACGTGTAGCTATTCGACTATATTCTTTCATTCAAGATGTTGGTTCATCATCAATTTTAAGTGTACTATAATGACACAGTTCCATGCATACATTTTGGTAACTTGCAAGTGAGTTGGTGGGTCTGATGGTGCATGTTTCCTGTATAATAGTACTGGCTTTTCTTATTCAGATGCCAAGGTAAATATGATCGTCTTTCTGTACCGTGTATGGACATGTGCATAATTTGTTTCTGTTCAGGTGAATCGAATGAAGCACATGACATATAATTCATTGGACCGTGAGCAGGATATACAACATTCTGGTAGCTCTTGTGACTCAACTGGGTAAAATTGTTGGTTTTATCGGCATGTGGACGCTCTTTTTGTATCTATAAAAAAATGAATTGTTTCGATGATTAGACTGTAGTTGTCTTGCTCAAGGTGTTTGTAAATCACATCTAGTAGAATGTAGGCTTCTTACTCAAGAAATGTGTTAAAGAAAGACTAGTAGAATGCAGGTTTCTTACTCAAGTTGTTTGTAAATCATATCTAGTAGAATGCAGGCTTCTTAATTAAGGTGTTTGTAAATCACATCTAGTAGAATGTAGGCTTCTTACTCAAGAAATGTGTTAAAGGAAGACTAGTAGATTTTAGGCTTCTTACTCAAGAAATGTGTTAAAGGAAGACTAGTAGATTTTAGGCTTCTTACTCAAGATGTTTTTTTCAAGACTTCTTTCGCAAGCCTTTTTGTAAATACATATCAGTTAGCGTGTAGCCTTATTGCTCAAGAGGGTTTTTAATACATAGTTAGCAGACACTTTTTGTAGGCTTCTTACTCAAAGGGTTTGTTAATACACTGCTAGTAGACTAATCTTTTACACAAGATTGTTTTTTATTGCAAAAATATTATACTTTGTGCTTCCTACTAAAGAGTTTTTTTTAGTGCATAGCTAGTATACTGTAGGCTTGTTACTATAGATTTGTGATATTGCATAGATAGTAGAGTGTAATCTTCTTACTTAAACATTTCATTAGGAAATTGCGCAAGCGAGCAGATGTACCAGAGTTTTTTATGCCTTTACCAAAGACACTCCCCCCCCCCTTTTTTACACTTAAGGAGTTATTTTGCCACGAAAGCCTCCGCCAGCAGCCACTCGATCAGGTTCCACCTGAAGCCACCCAGCCCAAGGACATCCGGTGGCTCTTTGACGTTGCTCTCACAGCGTCAGCAGTTGACTTTTAAAGGGGGTCGAGATTGTATATGCACGTCCTAAAACCTTCTCCTCTCCCGTACTGGGGAAGCGTCAGATTCTATCTCGCTGACAAATTTACCAAACGCAAAGAATAAACGTTGCGAATCTAGGAACAGCTTCCTCAGTCATGTGTAAAAAGAATAATTTTACTAAACTGAAGGTATATCAGGCGTCTGTTCACCCTACGCTTCTCTATGCCCATGAAATATGAATGGTATACGAACGCCATGCAAGGATGCTGAACCACTTTCATACAACAAGATTCAGAAAAATTCTCAATATTAAATGTAAGGACAAGGACCCAGACACTGAGACTCTCATACGGGCACGTCTCCCCAGCATTTTTTACCCTCTTAATGAAGTCTCAGGTTCGCTAGGTGTAACATGTGAGAATGTGAGATAAACGTCTGCCTAAAAAAAAATTATGCTGAGCTTGAACAAGGAAAGCAGTCTGCAGAAGAAAAAAAGTTTTAAAGACAACTTAAAGCCTCGCTGAAAGCGTTCAAAATAAACCCAGACACGTGGGAGGAAAAAGCAAAGGATCGAATATCATGGCGTTCCACTATACACAGGAGCTCCATGCAACATGAAGTGTGGCTTAACAGCGGCTGCAGAGCGCAAGAGGCATGCAAGGAAAGCCCGGTCTGACTCTGCTCCCGGAGATGCGCCATCAGTTCTCTGCAACTGCGGCGCAAGATAATTTCGTCCCAAAATCGGCCTCATTAGCCTTCTGCGCACCCACAGGTAGAACTAGCTCAAACCTGATGATTAAATGGGTCACGGTAGACTCCCGACTGACGAACAAACATGTTACTAAAGATATTTGTCTATGCATAGCATACTGTAGGCTTATGTCGCGAGAGGTTTTTTGGTATATTGTTAGTAGACTGAAGGAGTTATGTTTATTTATCAAATACACAAAGCAACCAAAATAATCAACTAAACGACAGACAGACTAAACAAATGAATAAACAAATTGAATAATCAAATAGATAAACCAAAGATATATAATAAACAAATCAACTAAACAAAACAACTAATCACATTTACTAAACAAATCATCTGAACAAATCATCTATTTAAAAATCATCTAAACAAATCAACAAAATATTCTTGAATAAATCGTCTAACGTACAAAAGTTTATTACATGAAAAATACTAATTGATGTTATAAAATATATCCACATCAGATTGCATGCGAATCAAAAGGTGGAGTCCTGGCAAAAGTGACGTCCCAAACGCAATTAAATAGGATAACGGCACTCCCTATTGCTATTGGTAAGTGAAAAGCGTTATAATCTTCTTGCCTCTGTTCCTACTAGGGAGACGTTCGGGTGAGGTACAGTTGGTGATCTGCCACATGGTGTGAGACCTACTGAATATTCTTTTTTTTTTTTTCTTTTTTGTCATTTCATTTGTCTTTAACACAGTAAATGTACAACCCGTGTCGCCATTCTCAGGCTCTGAAATTGGAGTACCTGATATTGTGAACTTTCTTAACATGATGTTCGGCAGTAAAATTCACTTTGTTGCTCCTTACCCGAAAATGATGTCATTATTAATGCAATTTACACCAATTACTAATTTTTCATCCACCATTTGCTAACAAAAGTCATCAAAAAATGCTCATTTCATTTGATTCCTACTTTCTCCATTTCCAGTAGATGTTTTTTTTAGACCTTTATATCAATGAAACTTAAATAATCATTTTCAAATGCCGTATTTCTCGTATCCCTTTCTTCTCAATTTCCACTAGACATACGTCATTTGACCATATCTTCACAAACTTTAAAATATTTCAAAACTGTTTTTTATTTTTACAATTAAAAAAAAAATTGTTTGATGAAACACGCTCTTAACATTATTCAACACAGTGAATTTGTTGGTCATGTACTCTGCGTTGGCGAACATGTTTACCCTAAAACTACCGCAAAAGCCGAATATTTCCTGAAGTTGAGAAGGATGTGTTTGAAACAAAACTATTGCCGCCTTAACCCTCGCCCCTTTAATTCCTCATAATGCATTAATAATTTGTTTAGTAGAATTAGACAATTACAAAATTGGAATAAATAGTCTTGTTGGACTTATCCTACAAATCTGACCCTCCCCCCCCCCCACCCTTTTTTTTCCACCACCACACAACACACACACGTACTTCTCTTTCTTTCGACTTCAGATGTGTCCTTTTATAAACGTATTTTAAGTTTGATATAACACAATATAGTTACTGTTATTATCCCGAATTCCACAACAGCTCATAACTTATATCAATTCTTGAATATATTGATATTGCAGGCAAGGAAGTGTGGATCGGTGCCAGCGATAATAAAAATGAGGGAACCTGGGTTTGGGAAGACGATGGTACCATTACCTCAGAGTTGAAAACGCTTTGGGCCGATGGTAACCCAATGGAAGGCACGGACTATAACTGCGCCCAAATTAGAAATTCTCAGATCTCTAATTGGCTGTGTAAAGCTCAAATTTCTTTTCTTTGCATGGAGAAAGGTACTTAATTTAAGCGCCATGTTACTTCGGTTTGGTTGTTCATTTTTTAACGTAAAGGCAAGAATGAAACAAAAATGCCCCGACCCTTGCAAAAACATACTACAGCAGTGTTCCTATTGTTAGTTCACATTGTTTGTAGCCTCAAACTAATGTAGCCGACTTACCTTATCATATTACAATGTATTAGCCTTACAACACAGTTTATAATAAATAAATCAACCATGAAGACAACACATGCGACAATTGCTATTCTATATTGAAAAAAAAAAGTATCTTATTTTAGAATAAATTATAGACTTGTAAAAGCCAACAAATAAAACACAAATAATAAGCAATGAAAAATTAGATTAACCTAAAATATTTATGATAGCATAAACGTTCATTATTTTAAATAGAATGCTTATTATGTTAAGCATTTTATGACACATTGCGCTGTATCATATGGTCTAACAAAACATTAGTTTTATTTTTAAAAACTATTTTTGAGTACGAGTTACATGACATAATCTAAGTTAAAGATCGAAAAGGTGTAAGGTACATTTCAGCATGATGTCAATCAAAAAAAAAAAAAACTTTTAAACTAATTTTTATACCTTTGAAAGATCTGACCACAACTCAAGATCCGGTGATTTCGACAAGCACACAAAACGATCCTGCTACCACCAACACTGCAGCTTCCACAACCGACGCTAAAGCTGCCACTCTTGCGACGACACCTATAACTGCTTTCATGAAATGTGGCGCAAATGGCATCGAATTAAATGGTCTATTAATTTTACATTTGTGCTTGCTCATGTTTCTAGTAATTTCAGTTTAAGTGTTTTTTTTTTTTTAAACTTTCTTTATTTTTCAGCTATACTTATTTGTTGCTTTGTCTGAATTGTAAACCATATTTATAACAACAGAAAACACCATTATTGTGTAAGCGTTCAATTATCTAATAATTTGAATTTAATTGTATTTTTTCTATTTCTTTGCATTATACAATACAAAATTTATTTATTTTTTGAGGGGGTATTGGAAAAAACCAAATTCTAAAGTCTCAAGCGAATATAAAAACTTCACACAAGGAAACCACATTATGTATAATGCCTCGTAGGTCAGCCATTGTTAATCTTCAAGTATTTCATTTAAAATGATTGATTTTCGACATTATAGTCACCCTTCACAAAGACAGCCTACTCACTTTCGCATAACTTTAAAACCACTGACTGCCACAGCTAATCTACTCTACTCTTCCTTCCACCCTAAATCCTCTAAAGACTCCTTTCTCTCAGTTACCCCTCTTCGTCGACTTTGTCGGTCGGATTATGTTTTTTTCGGAATAAAGCATTTGAGATGATAGACTATTTCCAATGTTGGCCCTACAAGGAGACAGTACTTTCATCAGCCTTTCAAATGGTTTAGAAGATTGCCCGTGAAGATGACTTCAGATGACGTCCGAGCGACAATGTTGACAGTGTCAAACTTAGTATCCATCATCACCCCCACAATCGAATAGCTTAACGTATTTTCTTTAAAAAAACTTTCTATTCTCCTCATAGGCAGTGAAACACGGGACATTTTTTTCTTCCCCTCCTCTCATTGTGTTTTAGCAATAGGAATGTACGTGGATATTTAAACAAACAAAAAAACATTTCTTCAATTGTATCACTTTATGTGTGCCTTGTCAGAATTTTAATCCATATTTTCTTTAATGTGTGTGCGTTCAATTATATAATACTGTGAATTTAATTGTATCATTAGAAAAAAAATATTCGTTAATATTTGATGCCGTAATTTTTATATACATTTTTTGGGTGTTTGCAAAAATAAATTAAAATTTTACAAAGTCTAAAGTGAAAAATTCCTTAGATTAGAAAAAAATTAACGTCAAATAATTTTTTTTATAAATTAGCTTATCTTGTTAATCTTAAGCGAGTCACTTCCCCGGGTGTGACTTATTTAATCAAAACATTATAACACAACTAATTTTTAAGAAAAAAATTATATTTTTCCAATAGCTTTGTTTCATTATCCTTTGAAAAAAGTAACTCATGATATCGATATTTTTACATTTATTTAAATGAATCGGCTCTAAATGCCTGAATTTTAATCCCTACTTACTCAGGAACAAAAAGCACATGTAGAATGTGTGCGTTCAATTATCTCTTACTTTGAATTTAATTGTATTGCTTTTTTTAAAATTCTTCATAATTATACTATGCAAGATTTTTAAAACAAAATGATTGAAAAGATTTATAAAATTTCTAAATGTAAAAAATTCTTTACTTTAGAAAACAATAATGTCTATAATTTTTTTTAAGTAGAGCAATGTTAATCTTCAAATACTTCACTTCAAGTGTTTGTGAGCCGTGTCAAAAATTATTAAGACAGCACATTGTTGAAAACAATATGAAGGAATATATGTAGTTCTAATATTTATTTTTTTGAAACTATTAATTGAAACCATACTACAAAAATAAATTTTATTAAAAAGTTTACATTTGCCCAATTATCTTTTTCATTCTCTTTTAAAAAATATTTTTATAATAATTTTAAAAAATTAAAAACTGTGCATTAGATATTTTTGCATATCTTTTAATGAAGGGGTAAACAATATTTAATCATTTTCGATGGATTCACACTTCTCTTTTGCTTTATAAGCTTCATACACTATCAAATATCTTAGGGTATAACATAATTATTCATATGTATTTAACATAATCATTAATAATATTTTTTTTTAAATTAAAAAAATGAAAATTTAATTTGTTACTTTTTAAAATTATAAGTAATTATTGCCTAGAAAGGTTGTGAATTAAAAATATTCTGTAAACTTAAAAATTTTAAAAGACTTCAGTCAGTGGCTGAGTTATACACAGTCTTACGATGTGTCGTCCATGATTTTTTCCGCGCCCTGGTTGTCCAGTGTGATGGTATCAAGGCATTCATTTAGGTTGTCAACAATTTTTTTTCTCACATCAGGGATCTTCAGCTTACTGATGTTGAGGCGTTTCAGAGCTTTGTTGGCCTGGGGTCGTCTCTTAGATTGAATGTGAATTTTCATCTTTGAGACGATGAGGCGGTGGTCCGTCCAGCATCTGCGCCGCACATGACCTTAGTCCCTATTTCTGACGATTACTTAATCAAATAAGTGCCAGTTTTTTTACATGAAGGTGCATCCAGGAGGTCCTGTTGCGCGTAGGCAGGCTGAAGGTGGTGTTTTTTTTATTAGAAGGTCATGTTCAGCACAGGTCTAAAGTAGCAGTAGGCCGTTGCTGTTGCACTTTCCAACACCATGCTTCCCAATCACCCCCCCCCCCAAGGAGGTGTAGTCACTGCCGACACGTGCATTAAAATCTCCAAGTACGATGAGTTTGTCAGCAGTCGTTGTGGAAGAGATGACAGTGTTCAGGTTTTCATAAGACTTATCTTTTGTCTCTTCTGTGTTTGTCAGGGTGGGGTGCATAGGCACTGACTGAAGTGTCAGACTTCTTTCCATGGCAGAGGGGTTGTTTCAACGTCATTAGGCGGTCATTGACACCTTTTGGAGAGGTGGGAAGCCTGCTCACAAGAGAGGTTTTTATAGCAAAGCCAACACCAGCTTCTCGCCTTGAGTCAGTGTCACGTCCGCTCCACAAAAAAATATGGCCAGCAAGCATTTCTGTGAGTTCAACTTTGCCAGAGAGTCTGGTTTCACAGAGCGCGGCGATGTCTTTATTGTTTGTATCTCGCAAGTTCATGGGCAATGAGCTCGGTGCGTCTTGGCGGTTTGTTTGAAGTGTCCGTGTCAAGCAGTGTGCGGATGTTCCATGTGGCAGTTCTAAGTAAAATAGTGTTGACCGTTGATTTTTGATCGTGTTCAGCCGGCCAGGGTGGAAGAGCAGGCAATTTTTTGAGCACCTACTCTAGCCCCTTCGTACATTGTGTAGTGTTTGTCATTTTATTATATGTTTTCAAAATAATTGTTGCCTTATATATATATATATATATATATATATATATATATATATATATATATATATTTTTTTTATATTTTTAAAAAATTTTTTTTTTTATATATATATATATATATATATATATATATATATATATATATATATATAAGCGTTCTAATTTATTCTTGTAAGCCCAAGACGTAAAAAAAAAGTCTGTGTTAAAAAAGTACTTTTAACATATTTAATTAAAACATAAACTCTTTCTTTGAGTGGCATTGCAAAGCATGCTCAGAACTCATAGTGCATGTAGCACACTAGTATATATATATACACATATAGACAACACAACTTTCGTTATCTTAAGGTTTGCACTTGTTCGTATGACGAAAATAATTTCTTGTTTCTGCTGGCGTGGTTTGGTGTCGTTAATGATCGCACTTATTCCTAAAATCAACAACATTTAACCGCTGGTGCTGAGCGTTCCGGACACATAGGCAAGACGAAAGAGACAGAAATACATTCATCGGCCTTTCTTATACATATTGTGCTCCAGTTAAGTCTGAGAACATAAAGGACAGTGGATGGCTCGTTGTCCAGACAGGTCGCTGCTTGTTCTTGTTCGAAATTAAATGAATACTATGTGTTGGGATAATCACTGACCCTGTTATTGTCTTTGAAATAAATTAAAGGATAAGTTTTACCACAAGGGCCTGAAGGAAATACATACATTTAAAGACTTTGAAAATAAAAAATAAAAATGAAGTAGGCTTGTGGAGGAGTCAGCCGACCGGGGCCTACCTTCCTTTAGTAAATATAAGGAAGTGATTTATATTTGTGTGCACTTATTTTCTCAATTTAAGAATAGCGCGTAAGACACATTTGGAGGATAATCACTTTCTCAATCACTTTCGATCGAAACCAAAATTAAACCGAAAGTTAACATTTGATTTTTGGCCAACACCGAATGAAGTGCAACGTTAATTTTTCAGATTCGGCCGAAACCGAAACAAAGCTGAAACTGATGAAATTGCAACTTTCGACGACGAAACCGAAGTCGAGGCCAACATTCCAATATCTAGATCTCTTTGGTTCCGTTGATACATAAATAATTGAATAAGCATACTTACAACTTGATAATTTGTTTTTAACATTAAAACATTATGACTTTCTTTGTATTAAGAAAATTTTTATTTTGTAATGCTTCCCAGGCCCTGCACATAATAATGGATAAAGCATAACAATTTTCACACTACTACTGGATTGCAATGACGCATTATTGTTTCTTTTGGCCTCGCCTAGATGTAAAACTTTTCCCGTGGTAAACCCTTCAAAGTTTGTTCGTGCCTGTCCTTTGGTCTTGCCGATCTCGCATTGTTCCACAGATCTTCACCACTATGACAAGACACAAACGAAATAGTTCAGTACATCTACAGCAAAACCTTGAAGACACATCAATTACCTTTTTTTTTCAGATGCCATCTCTTTTAGTAAAGTTGTACATTGTTGAGCTGTGCTCTCTACAATTTAATTTAATACAATTCCCACAATGCGGTGTCCTTAAATTGTATTGATCAGAACACATGCACAATTCAGAAATGCTGCCGGAAAGGAGTTGGCCCTAAATTATGTCACACAGTTTATTTTGATGATTGAGTTATGTTTTCTTTTAAAAAGCAGTGGAAAATATTTGAAAATTTATCTGACGAGTGTTGAGACATATGGTTGAGATTAATGATAACATTACGACATTTCAAGCTAAAGGAATAAT